TCTGGGGCTCCTGTCCAGTTCCCCGGATGGCTCAGTTTTTCTCCGTCATTCAGCCGGAGTGCAAAGTGGGCTTGGAGGGATCCCTCGGAGGGTTGGGTGCTGTTTGAATGAATGCCATGAACTGGGGTGCCGGTAAGCACTGACGTGTTCCACGGTTGCTCCCCGTTTCAGGGAGGCATGGGAGGGAAGTATTTCTGCATGATACAGATCGTTCATAATGCGCAAGCATGTGTGGGCTTATATATACACGATAAATCAATACGAAATACTGGAAGAAAATGTAGATGAGCTTTATTTGATTTTTGAATGGAAAAGCCTTTTCCAAGCCTACCAACAACGGAATAATAATAACCAGTCACATTTATTGGGCGATTACCATGTTCCAGTTGGTGCTCTACGCACTGACTATGAGTGAGCTCATCTCCTGAGACACCAGCATTTTACTGCGGTTATCTTTAGTAAGTAAGATGACCGATCTTTGTTTTCTTTTCCAAACTGGCCCGTATTTTCTTTATTTAAAAATTTTTTTATTTTAAAGATTTTATTTATTTGTCAGAGAGAGAGAGCGAGAGCGAGCGCATATGCAAGCAGGCAGAGGCGGAGAGAAAAGCTGAGCAGAGAGCGGGATGTGGGGCTCGATCCCAGGACCCTGGGATCATGACCCGAGCCGAAGGCAACGGCTCAACCGACTGAGCCACCCAGGCGTCCCTATTTTCTTTATTTTTGACGGTGAGCATCAATCACCTTTGTAATCAGAACACAAATTAAGAAAGTTATTCAGCAACTATTGTTCAGAAAAAGTTCTAATTAGTTCCCAAGTGAACTACTTTGCTGAAGTTTTAATAGTTTTGTTCAATTCATCGGAGGCCAATCTTTCCTTTGAAAGTGCTTCTAATTGGCCCCTTTTCTTGATATGGTTAGGATTGTGATAAGGTCCCTGAAGTCTTTGCCAAACCCCAGCCCCAGACGAACCACCTTGGGGCCAGCGTGGCACAGCCTCGTCTGCCTTCAGATATTGAGCTGCTTCTAAAAAGCGACCTTTTCTGAATTGCACACGTAATGTTCATCCTTCCTGGAAAGTTATTCCTCCAGAGGACAAAAGGTAGTTTGCTTCATCAGCATCTCATCAATATTACATGAAGAAATCTTTTGCTTTTCTCCCCCTTCCAAGTACTCTGAACACGTGCACATATGTGTGTGAACACAGCAAACACAGGCAGCAAGACACTCAGGAGGGCTCAGCCCCCCATGGCCCTCTTCTCTGTAGTGCCTGCACCAGGCTGTGTAGCAGTCATGGCCTTCGTGTTTGTGTGGCACAGAAAACTTGCTTGGAATGTAGTAAATTTATCTATCTATCTATTCATTTATGATTTTATTTACTTGACATGAAGAGAGAGAGAGAGCAGAAGCAGGGGAAGAGAGAGGCACAGACAGAAGCAGGCTTCCTGCTGAGCAGGGAGCCTGATGTGGGGCTCGATCCCAGGACCCTGGGATCAGGACCTGAGCCAAAGGCAGACACTCAACAGACTGAGGCACCCAGGCGCCCCCCTTTTTTATAGTAAATATGTTAGAAACACGTAAGACCTGGTCTGTAATGACTATGGTTAAGAGGTAACAGGGCAGGGCATAAGGAAGGTGATGGTTAAATCATCATGGATCTCTGCCAGTTCCAGATTGTCAACATTTTTCTTGAATTCCCGAGCTCTGAGTCAGTTAGCCACCCAAACCAGGACGTCCTGTAGGCCCCCAGAAGTCAACCAGCCCCTACTGACCTCACTATACTTCCCCCACTCCCCAAATGCTTCCCTCTCCTAGTGCTGTCTTGATGACAGGTGTTTCCACAGCCGCTCATGTTCTGATGTCATCTCCCATCCAGTGAATCCCCTCAAACGCGTCCCAGCCATCCTTCGTAGGCCACCCTAGGCCACGTTGGCATTTTCTCTCACCTTACAGATTCCTTGGCTCCTTCCCTCTGGGAAAGTGCCCCATCCTAGACTGCTGAGGAGGGTAGCGGGCTGTCACCATTCACCTCTGACCATTCCCTGCCCCACACCCCTGCAGGGGCCCTGTGATCTCCGGAGCTCTCCCTCGTCCCCAGGGTACTCTGTGCTGCCTGGAGTGGGGGAACTTCCTGTCCTTGCCCCTCCCCGTCCCAGGCTGGAAGCGCACGTGCACGTGGGTGTGTATGTGTGTGTGCATGGGGCCGCCTGGGTTAGTGCTGTCACTTCCTCCTCTCACAGAGAGCAAGGCCACGGTGGATGGGAACCTGAGGCCGTGCTTCTGCCTGCGACACTCTCATCAGAGTTGCCTTCAGTGAGAACGCGAGCAAGACAGTAATCAAAAAGGGGTCATGGACTAAATGCTCCTTGAGTTGGGCCTTAAAGGAAGAGTGGAGGTTAGAGCTATGGCACAGATGCCACAGAGCATTCTGAGCAAGCGGGTTACTTGGGCAAAGGGCCTCATCGGGGCGCCTGGGGGGCTCAGTCGGTTGAGCGTCTGCCTTCAGCTCAGGTCATGATCCCAGGACCCTGGGATCCAGCCCTGCATCGGGCTCCTGCCTCGGAGGGGAGCCTGCTTCTCTGTCTCCCTCTGCCCCTCCTCCTACTCCTTCTTTCTCTCTCTTTAAACAAAAAGGAGGCTCATCAGTACCTTTACCTCTTAAAACTCTTTATTACGGCAGTTATATGGGTACACACAGGAGAGAGAACAGGATTGGAAACCCCCACCCTCCCTTCACCCAGCTTCAGCACTTGTCAACATTTCACTGGCTTACTTTGAGAGCACGAAAGGATTTAGGGGAGAGAGCTGCAGGGTACCTTTCCGGAAGTGAGAAAAGAAGAGGCACCCGGATAAGGTTGTCCAAGTGCAGGTGCGCCCATGCACCCTTTAATAAGGGCATCGCATGGTCCTGACGCACAGCGGGTGACACCAGCAACAGTCTTGCTCCCTCTGTCCCTGGAGCTACATGGATTTGGTTGGGCCATGTGGCAGAGCGGAGGGGCCCAGCCTGCCCTGGGCTGTGGCTAACCACTGCGGCTGTGCATTCAGCACTGTGTGTGCCGGGCGCCAGGCGAGGGTCACTTTCTAGGCGTTGCGCGTAGCTTTCAGGAGACCTTTGTTAGCTCTGGACCGTCACCACGAATTTCTTGAGCAGAGACTCCAGGCGACTCTTTTCTGTTGTCACCATGTTCTCTCAGTGACTTGCAGTCACACTGACCAAAGAGCAGGGAGGGCCGGGCACTAGGAAAGTGACCCGCATGGTTCCTTCCCCCCAAGATCTGCCGCTCCCATTGCGGGGTGCCCCGTCCGGTGGCTCTGAGGGCCTCTTTGTGGTGGAAAGTGAGGTCATCACCTAGCATGATAAGCAAGACAGTAAGAGCCGTGAACCGAAGCGAGCAGGCAAGGTCGGAGACATGCACTTCGAACCTAGGGCAATGTTGCTGATGGAACACGGAGTCTAGAAGGAGGCGCTCACGGTGTTGGGCTTGTCAAGGTCCTAGACCCCTTTCTTCCTGACCTTTCGAACACCATGTGGGTGTTCATAGGTATGGTGCTGGTTACTCCTTTCTGTGAATGAATAGTCTGTGACCATTGCATTAAAATAAGTTATCTTGGGACGCCTGGGTGGCTCAGTCGGTTAAGCATCTGCCTTCTGCTCAGGTCATGATCCCAGGGTCCTGGGATCGAGGTCCACGTCTGGCTCCCTCAGTGGGGAGCCTGCTTCTCCCTCTGCTTGTGCTCTCAGTCTGACAAACAAATGAATAAAATCTTTAAAAAAATAAAATAAAATAAGTTATCTTGGTGTCTAACTGCCCCCTGCCCAGGCTAATTCGTGAGCTCCTTGAGGGCAGACACAACGTCTTACGGTTTTCTGTATCCCAAGTCCCATGTCCAGTGCTTGGTACACACAAGGTGCTCATTCATTCATTCATTCATTCACTCATTCACTCATTCAAGAGTTCTTCCTTCTAAGTGCTATGATGCAGGGGAACACGGGGACCCATGGCATTTATCATTTATCCCAGCCTTTGGGCTGGAAGTAGAGGCAGCAAACATTTTCTTAGGATCGTTACACCTGACCTGAGTCCCTGAATCACAGAGGCCTCTGCTCGGCCGAACGGTAAAGGTTTTCATCCTGTCGGCACTTGGGCTCTGAAGGTCTTCCTGCGCCAAAGCTCATGGGGATTCACAGTTCGATTACTTCTTACTGAACATCTATTATGTGCCAGGTTCTGGGAGGACAGAAATTCCTGATCGTTCTTGCCTTCAAGGAATCTCCACCTCTTCAGGCCTAGGTGACGAGTAAGCACACAGGGCCTCAGAGGAGGGGCGGCTCCCCGAGCCTGGCAGCTTGGATCAGAGGAGATGCGGTCAGCTCAGGCCCTCAGGAACAGGGGGCGCTACAGGATGAGGAGGGGTCAGCTGGCCCAGAGGCCAGAAGTGGGGCGGTTGGGAAATATCTTCTGAGCATGGGGGATGGGAGGGGGATGGAGCAGGACGCATTGTTGATTCAGGAGGCATTGTTGGGTCTCAGGTGATCTCCAGGTTATTTTCTGATGATGTGGAATTCAGTCTCACACTTGGCTCTGCCTTTGCACTTTGCCTGGTTTTGACTTAGGAACACCTTGTATTTCTGTTCCTGCTGGCTCTTTGGCCAAAGAAGTGTCTTGTTTGGTCAGCCCGTGACCTTCTCCCCATCAGTGTCCTTGCAGACAAGGACACTGATGGGGAGAAGGTCACGGGCACTCCAGATGGCAGATGTAACTGTCCATGAAGGGACAGTGAGACACCCACACACACCCGAGAACTGCCACATCTTGGGAGGCTGTCAGATTTGTTCTCTCTCTCTGACCACAGGAAAGGGGGCTAGAAGGTCCCGGCGCACAGGACCATGGAGTAGCCCTCAGAGGGAGGAGTGGAGCCACAGAGTGTGCTGTGGGGTGGCCGGCCGGATTCGCGAAAAGGGGCCAGGGCGGTTCTGGTGGACCCCGTCTTTCCCTTCACCTAGTGACGGGTCGCTGCCTCATCTGGTTATAGCTATTGAGAAGTCTCCCGAGCGCGCCCTTGACTTCTTTGTTCCTCAGACTGTAGATCATAGGGTAGAGCATGGGGGTTACATTGGTGTAGATTAAGGACACAATTTTGTCCTGTTCCGGGGTGTAGCACGACTTTGGGCGAATGTAGATGAAAATGGCGCAGCCATAGTGCAGAACAGAGACCAGCAGGTGCCCAGCGCAGGTGGAAAAGGCTTTGCTCCTTCCCTCGGCTGAGTGGATTTTGAGGATGGCGGCGATAATGAATGCATAGGACAGCAGAATCAGCAGGAAGGGAACCAGCAGGATGAGCAAGCAGACGAGGAAGACTGCAATCTCGTTGGCTCTCGTGTCTGAGCAGGCCAGAAAGAGCACAGCAGGGATGTCACAGAAGAAATGATTGATCTTGTGGGACTGACAGAAGGGCAGGAGGAATATCAGTGTGGTGAGGATGAGGGAGAGCGCAAAGCCACTGATGCAGGCCAGAGTCAGCATCTGCAGACAGAGGGCCCTGGTGACGATGACCGTATAGCGCAGGGGGTTGCAAATGGCCACGAAGCGGTCGTAGGCCATCACAGCCAGGAGGAAGCACTCTGCCCCACCCAGGGCGATGAAGAGGTGCATTTGCAAGGCACAGCCCAGGAAGGGCATCCGCTGGCTCCTGGATAGGAAATTGGCCAGCATGTTGGGGACGATCACCAATATATAACAAATTTCAATGGTGGACAGATTGCGAAGGAAGAAGTACATGGGGGTCTGGAGGCAGGAGTCAATGAGGGTGATGAGCACAATGGTTGTATGTCCTGCCAGGGTGACAAGATGCATGGCTAGAAAGAGTCCAAAGAAGAAGATTTGCAGCCCAGCCAGGTCCCCGAAGCCCAGGATAATAAACTCAGAGTTTAAGGTGTGGTTTTTCGGCAACAGGCCCATCCTACATTCTCCTCCACAGAACTCCTAGGCTGGAAAAGGCAGTTTTCTAGCAATTCTCCAAGTCGTGGAAGACCCGAGGGCCCTTGTCTTCATTCTATTACCTTTTCGAATTCTGCTCTCTCTTCACTGAGAATGAACTGTTCACTGTGACACCACTTTATGCCACCTGTGGAGTTGTTATAAAAAATGCAGTGGGGGTGAGTAAAGTCTATACATGGAGTTGCCTTCACATTTCGGGGGCCCCCGGAGAGGGAGGCGTAGAACCTGCAGTAGCTGCTGCCTCTCCTGTTCTGGGGTTCCTCAGTGCCAGAAGGCCCCGGGTGCCGCGTCACCTCCTTCCGGATACGTACCCCCGTCCCTGGACTGACCTAGTCCCTCCCTGCTGAGGTTCCCTGCTGAGGTTCCCACAGCACTCTGGGCTTCCCCAACCACATTATTTACCATGGACTCCTGTGATTTAAAAAACAATTTTTTTTTTTGTCTGTGTAACCCAGTAGCCTTTGAGTTCCATGATAGCGAGAATGACGTCTTATTCAGCCTCTCAAACATTGGCTTACACGTACTGGGATTATCAATGACTTGAATAAACGCCTGTTGCACGTTTCTCCATCCTCTACAGTTAGCACCGAGGACGCGCCTAACATAGGCTTGAACGAACGGTTGCGTGAGGGACTGGGGATGGCTGAGGTCGTGCTCATGCAGGGAGGGTGTCGGGTGAGCAGAGCAAAGGGTGAAACGTGAGCCAGGTCCCAAGGAGCTAGCAAACAGTTGGAGTCGGAAGGACAACGCCAAGGACAGTGGGGGTTTGAGGGCCCGGTGGGACAATGGCTTTGCCTGGTCTGTGTCCGGATTCTAGAGCTGTAACAAAGCTGAACTCAACATGAATTAAGGGTCCCTTGGAGGGGGTTGTCCCCTAAGGGACAGAGTTTGCTGAGGTACACACCATTTCTACTGGGGCCACTGAGACTCAAAGTGGGTTCGGTGAAACCGGAAAACCCATTTTTTTTTAAGACTGATTGATTTATTTGCTTTAGCTAGAGGGAGAGTACGATTTGGGGGGAGAGGAGCAGAGGGAGAGGGAGAGAGAGAATCTCAAGCAGACTCCCTGATGAGCGCAGAGCCCAACACGGGGCTCGATCCTGAGACCCCGAGATCATGACCTGAGCTGGAATCAACAGTCGGATGCTTAACTGTCAAGCCATCCGGAAAACCCATTCTGATGACGGTTTGGCTTGGCCTAGACCGTTGTTGTGATTTCAGTTTTCCAATCACTTGCGTGTCACAGTATTATTTTGGTTTTTATTAACCTAATTGGTACTTGGATTCTTAGAGCTGGATGGGTCCCTAGAGGGCAGCTTGCCCACCCCTCACTTCGGAGCACATGGTCCTGAAGCCTTTCGGCCCGCTGAGCTGTGCCCTGCTCCCGCCCTTGCCATCAGCCAGGAAAAGCCCCGCCTGCCGTCCCCGTCCTGGCAGAGCAGCCAGTGCAGCTGGGCGTCTGCTCTCAGCCTCCCCGGGGCCCGCCTGTCCCCAGGTAACTGTCTCTGGCTGGGAGCGCGCCCTCCAGAGCCGCATTCATTTTCCTCGGGCTCGGATCCTTGGCTTTAGCTTGGCCGCACCAAACCACGTCTCCTCCTTTCCCTCGTGGCAGTGCTGTGCAAATATGGGGATGCGTTTGTTGGGGCCTTAAACCTCGATAAGACTGAAGAACACACAAATGAAAGCGAAAGTCACACATGGTGCTAAGACTTCAGCAGCAAGAACTGAAAGTTAACGTCAAAGTTTCTGTTCCTTTGGTTCTACTCCCGCTTTCCCTGCGAGGCTCAGTCCATTCCCTGCTTTGTCCTGTGTGAATAAGCACACATCTGTCACACACAGCAGCACGCACACACACTCACTCGCAGGTGTGTACGCACACATGTACAACAAACATCGCCATACACGCACACACTCACCTGCACACGCACATACGCACAGCTCACACACAGTCAGGCATGCAGCCATTAGCACGCATTCACACACACTCAGACACACCAGTACGTGAACATCTGCCGCACGCACACATGGAAGAGCTCTGGCATGAAGACAGCAAAGGCCCGCAGAGCTCTCATCGAATGCTCCATCCGTAACCCTAACCCTGCTGGCTTCCCTCCTTCTTTTTAACTGCTGCTTCACAGATGTAATTAATTGTATTTGAATAATAAGAACACACAATAACAAATATAATCTACAAACAAAAGTAAGTAAAACAGAAAATAAATGATAATTCAATGAGTCTTTTATTACTTCCACGTTCAAGTGCTTTCTAGCCTTCTTATTGCCTCCGGGGTACAGAGCAGCTCCCCACACCGAGCCCCGTGCAGCTGCCAGAGCTCCAGCTGCTCTGGCCTCATCACTCTCTCCCCACGCCACCCCCCTGAATGCCACGCTGTTACCTGGGGGGCGGACTGGCATGGGGAATGGAAATCCCGGAGAAGCCCTGTCTGACGCTCTTCTGTTATCGCCCGCTGTCAGGGAGGAAACTTGAGGAGGAGGGACAGCCCTTCTTCGGGGGAGCAGGGGCAGGGACAGGTGGCCCGTATCCTGCAGCACAGCTTCCTGGGGCCCGGGACAGGACTTTCCTGTGTGTCTGCACCACAGGGAGCAAGACCTGGGAAGTACGGCCTGATGGCTGTTAGAAGGCACTGTCTTCAGAGGAGCTGGCATGTTCCGTCCCTTGAGTTAAATAGTCATGACGGCAGGACTCTGCAAGTCCTAGAGGACAGGTCAGGAAGGAGGCTGTCCCTGTGGTCCCCCACCAAGGGACGTGCCTTCCCCAGGTCATAGAGCTGAACCTACACCCAAACTCCAGCCCAGTGACTTCTGTTTTCTTGGGAAAAAAAAATGCAGTGTAGGTCTTGACAAGTTATTTAACTCTGATCTGCTGAAAGTGCACCCAACAGACTGAGTGGGCCTCAGGCCGCTTTGAGAGGTTTGCTGGATTGGAATCTGGCGAGCAAGCCTTGCTAGGGAGGAACACAGAGTGGCAAAGGAACCCAGGACTGGTGGCTTTCGAAGCCCCCAATACACAACGCCGAGAGTCTGCAGAGGGGAGTGGTCAGCCTTGCTCACCTGAACGAGCTACAAGTGTGAGCTCTTGGGAACACTACTACTCTGCTGACTTGAACTTCTGTCTGATACCTCTGTCTCCCCATTCCCAGGCTGCAGATCGCCCGCCCGACGTCCAACCTGCGTCACGGTCTGCATCTTATCAAAGCTGGACCCAGTTGCCCTCTGGGGTCGCGCTAAGGCTTCAGCTGCATCCACCCAGCCGTCTACGTGCTGCGTTTGCTCTGGGCGGCTGACCACAGCTCTACCTTCTGTTCACTTTTATTGGCCACAGAATTGCTCTGAAAAGTCTCCTTATCATCACTGCCCCTTTTAGGAATACCAGGACCCGGGCCAAAGCCATTGCCATGTCTCAGAATCTTCCATTCCTTAGAGAGCCAGCACGGTGCTGGGTTCTGGGCCACAGCAAGGAGAAGGCCCTTTCTCCAGCATTTTGAGACATGGAAGATTCTGGGACATGGCACACCTATAGAGAGGAAACAGGACCCCCATGAAGCCTTGTTTATGCTTTAAATTGACCCTCCCCAATCATCCCAGTGGTTTCTGTCCATGATCCTGCCTCCTCCGCCCTCCTCTTCCTCCTCTCTGTCTCTTCACTCCTCTTGGCCACAGTTTCTTTTCTTTTCTTTTTTTTTTTAAAGATTTTATTTATTTATTTGACAGACAGAGATGACAAGTAGGCAGAGAGGCAGGCAGAGAGAGAGAGACAGAGAAGCAGGCTCCCTGCTGAGCAGAGAGCCTGATGCGGGGCTCGATCCCAGGACCCTGGGACCATGACCTGAGCCGAAGGCAGAGGCTTTAACCCATTGAGACACCCAGGCATCCTTGGCCACAGTTTCTAATACAAGAGCTCTTCTGCTTTCTGATGAAGATGAAGGCCATGTAATAGGCTTTGGGAACAGCTCCTTGACATGATCTTGCCCTCCATGTGTTGTAAAGGGAAAGAGAAGGACCTGGAAAACAGAGTCACTGAGGCTTCCTGAGCTGACCGGCTCAGCAGAAACCAGTGGGAGCCCAAGAGAGAGACTAGCCTGGAGAAAGAGGAGGTCAAGGCTACGAAGAATCTTTGGCAGGGCCCATGGACCGAGCACTGTGGCCCAGGGCTGATGTACTTGCTCTTTCACCTGCTGTGGCACCAGGATTACCCAGGGAGGGATGGAAAGTAAAGAGGTTTAAAACTTCAGTCGAACACTTGGAAAGAAAGGCACCTCAAAGGAGTCGTAAGTACTCAGAACTATTCACATCTTCTGTATCTCTTTCCAGTTAGACACTACAGAGTCTGATAGGGTTTGGGGCAACACAGCATCAAATTCTGGGATCATGATTCTGATGGCCCTGGGCATCGGCTGGACTTCCAAATTTCGCCAGGGGTGGACATTTGTGTGCGTTCTCTTAACCATTTATACTCTACGAAAGGGAAAATCCTGGGGGAGTTGGCGCTGAAATAACTCCACTGCTGAAATTGTTAGAGTAGCTTACGGTTGTCATTTGCTCTCGCAGAACCTCTGATGAGATGTGTCACACAGTGGTGGCTGGAAGCAACCAGAAGGAGAAATAGAGGGACACCACGGACTTAATAGCTAAGCCTGGTGGGGAAGGAGATTAAAGACACCTGGGAGGGGCGCCTGGGTGGCTCAGTGGGTTAAAGCCTCTGCCTTCGGCTCCGGTCCTGATTCCAGGGTCCTGGGATCGAGCCCCGCATCGGGCTCTCTGCTCAGCGGGGACCCTGCTTCCTCCTCTCTCTCTGCCTGCCTCTCTGCCTATTGTGATCTCTGTCAAATAAATAAATAAAATCTTTAAAACAAAAAAGACACCTGTGAAATGTCAGGTGTGTGTGTCCTTGGGGGATCAATTCTTTTCTTCCGTGGTTTCCTCAAGGAAGAAGATGCCAC